TTTATTATACCTCAACAAAGTCTCTATATTTATCTCGTGTGTGTGTGTGTGTGTGTTTTTTTTTTTTTTATTGCACTCCCTACATCCTTGTGTAAGGTGAAGCGCAGAAGCGTTTACAGCGCCCAACAGGGAGGCATGCTAAGTTCATGCTTGCCTTTATGTCCCATGAGTTGAGGGCGTAGAAGCCTGAAGAGTCAGTGGTTTATGCTAGGTGAACAGGGACTAATGGGGTCTAGGAAGTAAGTCCAAACAACTTCCACCGGCCCGGGAATCGAACCCGTGACATCTCGCTTGCGAGGCAAGAATGGTACCGCTTCTACCACCGGTCCCCCTGTGTGTGTGTGTGATGGGAGGGGCCAGGTGACCCGTGTGTGGCAGAACGATATAAACGGGTGTTGGGTTCTTCCTATATTGTGTGTGTGTGTCCGTGTGTCCAGGTGAAATTTAGGCGCCAGTGTACGTAGAACAGTGTAGTGGTGCTGTGTGTGGGTGCTGGTGTGTAGTGCTGGTGCAGTGGTGCAGGTGTGCAGTGGTGGTGCTGATGTGTAGTGGTGGTACTGGTGTGTGTGATACTGGTGTAGTGGTGGTGCTGGTGTGTAGTGGTGGTGCTGATGTAGTGGTGGTGCTGGTGTGTAGTGCAGGTGGTGGTGCAGTGTGTGGTGTAGTGGTGCAGGTGTAGGGGTAGGGGTGTGTAGGGTGGTGCTGATGTGTGGTGGTGGTGCTGGTGTGTAGTGGTGGTGTGTGTGTGGTGGTGGTGTGTGGGTCAGAGTGCCCCTTCGCCTACCTATATATTCTTAATTTCTATATTAAATCGAGTATTGAAACGATATCCCTCAGGCGGTGTTTCCTGCTGTGGGGGGAGGGAGGAGGGGGGGAGGGTGGTGGGGGAACCTTGTTGTATCATCTTGGGGTGGATTGGGCTATATATTCCCCTAGTGTGTTTTGTTGATAGTGTTGTTGTTGTTGGGTAATCACAATCAGAAACAACAACAACAACAACACGGTTTTCTTGTAGGGATAAACTGAAGAACTTATAGAAAAAATTTAGTTAACTCGATGTATTTTGGTTGTTGTTGTTATGATCCTGATTGTAATTTATTGATAGGAAATAATGGTAGAGTTCTGAGTCTCTCTCTCTCATCTTTTTTCCCTCTCCTTCTCAATTATTTATTTATTTATTGTTTGTTTGTTTGTTTACGAGGTAGGTGTTTGTGGTAGTCCTGTGCAACCAACGAAGATTAGCCCCTGCCCCCCCCCCAGTTAGCGATGTTTTATTAATTATCAGGTGAAATAAGTAACCTGGGGGGCTAATCTTCATGTGGCTCGTATTTAATTAGGATATGTTGCTGCGAGTACTGTAGAGGCGAGTACTGTAGAGGCGAGTACTGTAGAGGCGAGTACTGTAGAGGCGAGTACTGTAGAGGCGAGTACTGTAGAGGCGAGTACTGTAGAGGCGAGTACTAGGAGACGAGTGCTGTAGAGGCGAGTACTGTAGAGGCGAGTACTAGAGAGTACTGTAGGAGGCGAGTACTATGGAGGCGAGTGCTGTAGAGGCGAGAGTACTGTAGAGGCGAGTACTATGGAGGCGAGTACTGTGAGGGCGAGAATTACAGAGGCGAGTACTGTAGAGTCACGTGTGTCATATGAGGGTGAATCAGGCACAGTGATACCATGGAGAGGGCGGTGCCACGGTGTGTCTGGAGAGTGCCAAGGACAGCAGGCACCACGTTTTCTGCTTTCACTCAATGTTTTCATCCCAAGCTTGACATATGAATACTTTCTTATACTCAACCCTGCACCTCCCTGAAGTTAGGTGAGGTTCGGTTAGATTTGGTGAGGTTCGGTTAGATTTGGTGAGGTTTGTGAGGTTCGGTTAGATTTGGTGAGGTTCGGTTAGATTTGGTGAGGTTTGGTGAGGTTCGGTTAGATTTGGTGAGGTTTGGTTATTCGGTGAGGTTTGGTTAGATTTGGTGAGGTTCGGTTAGGTTAGAATATATTGTGCTGAATACTTATGCTAGGGTTAGTTTAGCTGTTTTAATGGTCTTGAGGACGATGGTTTAAACTTTAAGCTGACAGGGGGTATAATCTTGTCATCTTAGGGGTTAAACCATCGAGTATTAAAAGTGTTAAATTTTCTCAATGATAAACCATCGTCCTCAAGGGTTAAACCATCGTCCCCAAAGGGTTAAACCGTCGTCCTCAAAGGTTTAAAACCGTCGTCCTCAAAGGGTTAAACCGTCGTCCTCAAAGGGTTAAACCATCGTCCTCAAAGGGTTAAACCATCGTCCTCGGGTTAACCGTCGTCCTAAAGGTTTAAACCATCGTCCTCAAGGGTTAAACCATCGTCCTCAAAGGTTAAACCGTCGTCCTCAAAGGTTAAACCATCGTCCTCAAAGGGTTAAACCATCGTCCTCAAAGGGTTAAACCGTCCCTCAAGGTTTAAACCATCGTCCTCAAAGGTTAAACCATCGTCCTCAAAGGGTTAAACCATCGTCCTCAAAGGGTTAAACCATCGTCCTCAAAGGGTTAAACCGTCGTCCCTAAAAAGTTAAACTGTCGTCCTCAAAGGTTTAAACCATCGTCCTCAAGGGGTTAAACCATCGTCCTCAAAGGTTAAACCATCGTCCTCAAAGGGTTCCATCGTCCTCAAAGGGTTAAACCATCGTCCTCAAAGGGTTAATAAATAGCAAGATAAGTAATTAAAACCAACCCAAAATAGTGTGGTGGAGAGAGAACCGAGATGTGGTGGAGAGAGAACAGAGATGTGGTGGAGAGAGAACAGAGATGTGTTGGAGAGAGAACAGAGATGTGGTGGAGAGAGAACAGAGATGTGGTGGAGAGAGAACAGAGATGTGGTGGAGAGAGAACAGAGATGTGGTGGAGAGAGAACAGAGATGTGGTGGAGAGAGAACAGAGATCTGGTGGAGAGAGACAGAGATGTGGTGGAGAGAACAGAGATGTGGTGGAGAGAGAACAGAGATGGGTGGAGAGAGAACAGAGATGTGGTGGAGAGAGAACAGAGATGATGAGAGAACAGAGATGTGATGGAGAGAGAAGAGATTTGGTGGAGAGAACAGAGAGTGTGGAGGGATTGAAAAGATGGATAAGAGACATTAAGGTGAGAGATGGGAGGAGGAGGATTGAGGGGGGGGCATGGTGTGGTGGTGTGTGACGTGTGATTATTCTCTCTCTCTCTCTCTCTCTCTTCCCACAACACTAGGTGGCGGAGTGGATACAGCGCTTGTATACCTCCTAAGGGTCGCTGGTTCACTCTCAGGTCACTCCCAGTCCACCCAGCTGTGAATAAGTCCCTAAGTTTTCATTTAGGAAGTGCAGTGGTTGAGTGCCGGCTGGATTGTGGCTACACTGTCTCTGTGTACCGACGGCTCAGTGTAGTCAGTGTGATGTCGGCTACACTGTCTCCTTGTGTGTACCGACGGCTCAGTGTAGTTGTGGATGTCGGCTACACTGTCTCCTTGTGTACCGACGGCTCAGTGTAGTCAGTGTGATGTCGGCTACACTGTCTCCTTGTGTACCGACGGCTCAGTGTAGTCAGTGTGATGTCGGCTACACTGTTCCTTGTGTACCGACGGCTCAGTGTAGTCAGTGTGATGTCGGCTACACTGTCTCCTTGTGTACCGACGGCCCGTGAGTCAGTGTGATGTCGCTACCTTGTACGAGGCGGTAGTCAGTGTGATGTCGGCTACACTGTCTCCTTGTGTACCGACGGCTCAGTGTAGTCAGTGTGATGTCGGCTACATCTTGTGTACCGACGGCTCAGTGTAGTCAGTGTGATGTCGGCTACACTGTCTCCTGTGTACCGACGGCCAGTGTAGTCAGTGTGATGTCGGCTACACTGTTCCTTGTGTACCGACGGCTCAGTGTAGTCGGTGATGTCGGCTACACTGTCTCCTTGGTACCGACGGCCCAGTGTAGTCGGTATGTCGGCTACACTGTCCCTTGTGTACCGAGGCTGTGTGTCGTGGATGTCGGCTACACTGTCTCCTTGTACCGACGGCCCAGTGTAGTCAGTGTGATGTCGGCTACACTGTCTCTTGTGTACCGACGGCTCAGTGTAGTCAGTGTGATGTCGGCTACACTGTTCCTTGTGTACCGACGGCTCAGTGTAGTCGGTGTGATGTCGGCTACACTGTTCCCTTGTGTACCGACGGCTCAGTGTAGTCAGTGTGATGTCGGCTACACTGTCTCTTGTGTACCGACGGCTCAGTGTAGTCAGTGTGATGTCGGCTACACTGTCTCCTTGGCGTGCGGTGCGCCTGTTCTTGTGTACCGACGGCTCAGTGTAGTCAGTGTGATGTCGGCTACACTGTCTCCTTGTGTACCGACGGCCAGTGTAGTCGGTGATGTCGGCTACACGTTCTTTTAGACGGCTCAGTGTAGTCAGTGTGATGCTGCTACACTGTCTCCTTGTGTACCGACGGCTCAGTGTAGTCAGTGTGATGTCGGCTACATCGTCTCTTGTGTACCGACGGCTCAGTGTAGTCAGTGTGATGTCGGCTACACTGTCTCCTTGTGTACCGACGGCTCAGTGTAGTCTACAGGTAAACACTTATTCTGTTGTTGTTGACATCTTCAATAACACCAAGACAATATGTTATCGTTTCCTTCAGGTCTCATTTGTAAACATTGGAAGGTGTGTGTGTGTGTGTGTGTGTGTGTGTGTGCGTGCGTGCGTGTGCGTGCGCGTGCGTGTGTGTGTGCGCTCTCGCCGGTACAGTAATAGGCCTCGTTTATTTAGAGAAGCTGTTAAGTTGCAGCTGGTGATGATTACCACCTGTGTAGCCCGGCAGGTGTAGGTGAAGGCGGCCCTCAGGTGGTCCTCAGTGTTTACCTGCCTTGACTCTAACTGTCAGTAGTTGATTGTGAAGTGGAGTAAACTTAACGGAACATTAAACATAGATCTGTTGTCTACAAGTGTTGTGTTACAAGTGTGAGAGAATGATGTTTAGTCAAGTGTTGTTGGCATTACAGGTGAAACAAGTGAGGCCTTACAGGTAGTGAAGGTGGAGCACAACAACACTATGTGGCGAGTGTGTTAAGAGTCAGGTGTAGGGAGGCGCGTGTGGGGTGATGAAAGGTGATCGTGGTGTGGTGACCATCAGTGGGGCAGCGGTGAGTGACGACCCTGCTGGAGCCCCTCACCCGACACCACCGTCGGCGTCGTCAGTAGCACCACCCCGCCCCACCCCTCGAGCCTTCGCTCCTGCTGGCGGTGGTTTCCTACGTAGGTTATCCAGGTATGCCAGTAGGGTCGTGCCCTTGTCGGCCACTGCGATCCGGGAGGTCCCAGACTACGGCGCCACTGTGGACGCCCTTAATGACCTCCAGGGTGGCACTGCCGACACAGGTAGCGGAGCAGATGGTACTGATGTGGCCGTGCAGGTGTCCCAGGAGGCAGGGGCGGGGGGCAGCAGGGTCAACATCCCGGTGCTACACATCACCAGGTCAGCCAGCTACGAGCGAGCCATCAGCAGCAACCGTATGCTGACCTCAACCAAGCCCCGCGCCCCGCCCGTCCCCACCAGCACCGCCAAGACCACAAGATCCCGGAAACTGACGTCCAGGAAGAAGTCCAACGTCTCGGACACCTCCAGGTCTTCCACCACCTCCAATGAGTCTAACTCGGCCGTGACCTCCTCCGTGACCTCCAGTTTGACCACCACAACCTCTACC